TTAATACAATTCCCTGCAAATTTTAGCCACAAAATATAACACAAGAAAAAATCATCTTTATATTGCCTCACAAACACAAAGAGTGCCAACTTTGTTTGCATAATCATCTTTTGATTCGCTTGAGAAGCAAAACCAGGCCACAAGTTAGACTATGATGACAGTGAATGAGCATTCCTACTTCCGAGGATTGCAAATTCATGATTTTTTCCAACAAAAGTTGAAGCATGTACATTGTAGATTCAGTTGTCAGATCGATTTGCATTTTTAAGAATCTACATACCTTAATTGATAATAATCGTGGCATGGTTGTGGAGAAAACTAATAAAATAAAAATGTAGGCAGCTCAATGTAATATTCGACAAAGCATTATATAAAGATACTTATACGAAAAAAGTCCATAACCAAGGAAGAGAAACATGCAAGAATATAAACAGGAATCTATAAACAAAACTTTAAGGTCAGCAAAACAAGTAAAACTTAAGGGCATCAAAACAAAGACTCATAGCTTGTTAAACAAGAAATTCAAGTGGCTTTGGTATGTCAATCAGACAAAGCCTGAGCTGAAGGTTTAAATCTAAATCATTTCTTTTTTGTCCATTATAATGAATTTCAAGTAGTTTTCTTGATTTACGTTGTTGTCTTTTTGAAATATCAGAGAACTTAATACTCCTTTTCACTCTAGGCATCCAAGTTGAGACTAAATAGTAGAACTGTAAATTCGTGTCCCTCGGGGGGATAATACTTTTTTTGTCTCCCTAACCATGGAACATAGGTTACTTGGGTAATAATGAACAAGGCATATAACGATTATTGAGCTTACTTAGGTCACAAATACATCATCCTACTTAGATCAACATCCAGACAAATACATCATAATTGGGTAATAAGGAAGGCAGATAAAGCTTAGTTTTAACATCCACAACATAACTTAAAAAAAAAAAAGCAAAGTTGCAACCGAAGAGACAGAGAGAGAGAGCTTCTTCCTTCTTCTACTAGAGAGAGAGAGAGGGCTTTCTACTCGGCTATCTTAATTAACCTTCTTTTCTTCAACCAAGCTGAAACAAACAAAGGATAAATGACATTTTATCCTTTTTAGTTACCAAGAATCGAGAATCAAGAGCAAATGTATGTGTACCTGGTGAACTTGAGTGATAGGTCCACATGGAGAGAAATGTTTAATCATCACCCTCTTGATATCGTCATCGGGAAGCGAAGTGTCATATCCCGATACACACATCCTATATTAATAATTTGATTAATGCAATGTTATCAAAAATGGCAAGAAGAAGAAGACATGTTACAGATGCTAGTCTCCAAAAGCAAAACAATAAGTCTACCTAATTACCAGTATCCAGAAAATGTGATGTAGCTATTCTTAATCGCAAAAGTCTTAGGAGACATTTCAGGAGTTAGCTTCCCTGCGTCGTATCTGTAACAAGTTTTTAGTTAACCCTTTGAGCTCTCAAGGTGGGGAAAATTTAGAAGAAGAATACACAAACCTGTTGAGAGCATCAGGTTCAACATATCTTGGAATACAAATGTCCAAGATCTCTCCACATGAAGATAAATGACTCTTCAATGCGCTCTTGACATCATCGTAAGGGAGTGAAGTGTCATATCCCTCAACGCAAATCCTAATATATAATCAACACATGACAAAAAGAAGACAATCTTACAGATACAAAATCTCCCAAAACAAAGGAAACAAGATCAATATACATACCTGATCTTTCGAATGGCTGCTTCACTATCCTTGGGTTTAAACCCCTAAGGTACGAAAGATCTAATCAGAAATTCTCTCTCTTTTTACTTGCATTAACAGAGAAATAGAAACAGAGCTAATCATAGGAGTGAGACAGAAGAAAGCCATAAGGAGAAGAAGATTACTTCCACGGCGGCTTTCTCCATAGCGGATATGAGAGATAAACGATCGGCTGCTAGTTTTTCGCGGGACAATAATAAGCTTGAAGATATATATTTTACAATTTTAGGGATACAAAATCTATTAACAAAGAGAAGAAGACCAATATACCTGGTTTTTGGACTGGCTGCATCACGATCCTCCATTTCCATCGATTTCATCCCCTAAGGTACGAAAACAGAAAGAGTCAGAAAGAAAAAAATCCATAAGGAGAAGAAGAAGAGCGATTACTTCAATAGCGGAATTCTCCATGGCGAGAAGAACGAGCGACGACTGCTTAGTTTTCGAGAGGCAAACAACCTTGAAGATATATTTGAGGACAAACGATTGGGCCTTGAATTTAGCTCGGGCCTCGACTAAGCCCATTTACACCTAATCTTCCGTTTTAGGGAATTGCGGGAGATGGAGAAGAAGAAAAGGGGAAAGCGATCATTGCGCACAAAATTGATGTTTTAATTAAATAAATATTGTTGTAACAAGATAGGATATATAATGGAACCTCAAGATTTGTTTACAAACACAATGATACTGACTAATACTAAAAATATTGAGCTGCAATGCAAAATTAAAACTTCCCCTACCAAAAAAATCCAAAACCAAGAAATCTATCTGCTTTTAAGGTCATCAAAAGTTCAAAACAGGCAAAACTTTGAAACCAACATCATAACATTTCATAATAGATCCTGAACTGAACAATCAAGCTGGGGAAGAATGGCTTCGTTCACTTGTTGGCTTCGGATTGGGCAAAGGACTTGGTGACAACATAGCAATCTCTTGGCTCGATGTTGATGTAATAGTTTTGTATGGTATCTGTGATATCAAACCCAAACTTCTTGTAGAACTTGATCGCATCGTCGTTGTTTGTCTGAACGTGCAAGTATATCTCACACATGTTTTGCTTGGAGCACATGTCAAGAACATGATTCAATAGCTTTGAACCTGCAAATGAAAGAAAAAAACAAGTTATTGACATAGAGATTTGGTGGCATGGATCTATGCTCGAGATCAAAAAGGAGAACTACGAAATTACAGCAACATGCTAAAGTTTGGCCATAGCATATTTACAACTCACCAATGCCAATCCCGCGGTATGGTGCAAGAACACCAAGTGTCATTATATACACTCGCATGCCCCCGCCTTCTTTCTTCTCTAGCCGACAAGCGATAGCTCCAACACATATGTCACTGTAATAAGCTGCGAGGAAGCAAATCCATCATTCAAAGCATCAAGAATTTTTCATGTCTCACAAACTTGAGAAAACAATGTAACCCAAAGAACAACACTGCCAAAACAACAAAACTCTAACACTCAACAAAACTCGAACACTTTGTTGTCTTGAAAGTTTCTTAATTGCATATTTTAAAAAGATAATCATACAACAAACAAACTGGTTCATGCATTTCAAGATGCATATAATTAAGGACTAGTAGGTACAAAAGTCTGCAGCTATTACACAGAAATAATCATGAGACTCAGAAAAGAAGAAGGTATGTGATAATACTAAACATAAAAACTTTCACTTGATTAGAGAAAATCATGCAATATTCTTCAAACAACTGTCACGGTAATACTTTACTTACACACAAACAAGAACTCTTGAGAACGATAAACCCCAAAAGGAACAAACGTTTATTAAAGGCAAAAACTGAGTCTAAAGATGTTCCATAAGGCAAAAAGACAGAAACCAAAAGAGATCTCAAAGAACAAACAACACAATCTGATCTGACTCAAAATCACATTCACCGTAAAAAACCAAATTAACCATCAGAAAAGTAAAAAGAAGCCGAACCAAGCTTGGTGAATTCGCCGGAAGCGATTGCATCGGCGTAGTACTTGTCGTTGTAACGAACCGGGAACAGAACCGTGTTGAGTTTCTTAAGCTGCATCTGGTTTTTGTCCCTGACTCCATCTAACGAAACGCTGACTTCTCGTCCAGCTCCCATCGCCGTCGTCTTCTTCCTCCACCGAATAATCTAGATAACTTATTACTGAGAAAACCAGAGATCGATTCGTCAGAGAAAAGGGGAAATCGTAGGGAAGCTTTATTTAGGGGAAATAATATTCCGTTCAGACATATAAAAAGAGATATTGGCCTTAAATATATATTTGGGCCAAGATTAAGAAGAGCCCACATAGTTTAAATAAATAAAACAACTAAAGAATTTAATGACACCAACATTAGTACAGCCGTTTAATGGAGATGATGATGAACAAGCATCCATCTTGGAGAACTTGATTTTCTAAAATAAAATAACAAAAATAGAAAGAGGCACTAATTTTGTGGATTAATT